TGTCTCAGCTCCAGGTCACAGCTCCAGGCCCAGAAGAGCCGTCAGGCCAAGCAGAGTGATGCCACTGCTGACATCAGGACCAGCTTCGATGAATGATGATCCCATGCCCTGGTGCCGGCCAATCAGTGGAGAATGTGACCCTGAAAGGACACACCTGGAAAGATGATGAATATTCCACTGAGATCCTCCCCTGAGACCTCACCTAAAATCCATCTTTACAGAAGGAGTAAAAGCCCTCAGGGCGCAGGACCCAGTGTGCCGCTGTCCCTCTTTTCGGAGTACACCCGCGCCCTTTCCTCTCTCCTTCCCCCAAAAGGTGTCACCTTTGTGTTTCTTTCTCCTAAGCTTCAAAGGTCCTTCTTTTGCCTCTAACTCATTCCCTAAGCCCACGCAGCCCAGCTGGTTCAGTTTTTTCCCCTACCTCTGTGGCTCTTTAAATAAACTTTTGCCTTCTATTTGAGTTCCTTGGCTCCAAATTCTTTCTCAGTGAACTCAAGAACTGAGGTTGCTGAACCGAGGTCTGGTCTAACTCCACCAGTAACATTCTGGTGCTATTTCACTGCGAACACAATCAGCCTATCCTGATCACATTCAAGTGCCCTGAAGCTTTGGTCCCAGGTGGTTCCAGATTGGTAGAATTGAACACCTTTATCCTTCCCACCCAAAAGCATAGGCACTTAGTCAATTAGTTGCCTTTCTGTTCAGCACTCCCATAGGACCACACTTAAGTAACTGGAAAAACAGCCAGAAGGATTTACTTCTTCTGTGGAGCCTGTAGCTGACTTTGTGATGCTTTCAGAGAAAAAGAACTGTTTCTCTACTATTCCTATCTTATAGATGTTCTAAGCAAACATTTACTGAAGTGCTAGGTCTTGATGCTTCATTCTAAAGAGTACTGATATTATGCAGGACTGTTCTCAAGAAGAGAACATCCATTTTCTTGATAGGGCATGAACTGTTGTCTTATGCATAAAATAGCCCCAGGGCAAAACTAGTCTAGAAAGAAAAAGATTGCAGAGGGTGCTAGTTAGAACGATTTGGAGTTGCTTGAACATAGATCCTCAGTGAATACCATAGCATGTTCATCTTTTGTAAAACTTTCAATGTGCTGGGTATGAATGACCCCTTTGACGTTTTTCACCTGAAAATGTGAGGTAAAAGACTGTTTTCCAGGAAAAGCTTCCCCCTTCATCATCAGTCACAACTATGGCTCACTGGGATTGTTCTGTTTTGATCCTTCCTCAGCCACTGTTGTTGCAACTCTGTACTTTCCTGATTGCGTCTGTCAGGAAGGAGACAGGAAATTCTAGTCACCCTCACAGCAGCTGCGCCATTCCTCCTATCCTCCTCCAGTGACTTCAGTTGGCTTCAGTGACACGAGGGAAGGAACTGAGCCATAGTGAAGGTCAGGAAGATAGGTCAGTGTTTATGCCTGTTGGGCTGGGGATCCTGCTGAGGCTATTTGGTTTCTTCCTTTCTATACTGTTTCTCTTTCCGTTCCTCTTTTTGTAATGCAGAGACAAAGCATCCTGTTTTCAAAACATCTGACTGTTTTGCCACTGAGAAATTCATGCTCTGATGCATTTCACTGAAGTATAAAACAATTCCTCTTATTCAGGAGGTGATAAGAGTTGAAACACCAAAATTAATGAACAAATCTAAGAGGGCAATCTGTCGTTAAAATAAACAGCTCTAACAGGTCTAACTGAACTTGGGCTGCTAGTAAAATGTTCCCTAGACATCCTTTTCATCTTGAGAAAACAATGTCATTGCCTCATAAAACTCCTGCTTAGTTTATTGCATCTTGTAATTCTTGGGGGAAAATAATCTGTGATATTAACCCACCTGGCTGCATCTTTCTTTATAATAATGGGTTCCATTTGGCCTGTGGCCAGCATGAAGGACTGAGGGAAATTTGGGCCAAGAATACCATTTTTTGTAAGTCACAGAAACAGTTTTGTATCTTACTCTCTGGGCTCTGAGGCACACTTGGGAAAGCCAGTTACCATGATCTTTCAGTCAGTTTTCTTTAAAATAGAAAACGCTTAAGTAACAACAACAAACAAGAAAACACAGGACCCTACCCAGATGAAGTAAATAGGAAGAATTTCTTGGTTTTTCTCCACTAGACACAGTCACCTCTCTGCCAGCTGCATACAGACAGGCACATATGTAATTCCCAGGCACTCCTGAAGTACAACACTGGCTCTCCCATCACCATTCTTAAGTAAGTGCAGAGGTTGCAAACAAAATTCAGTAGTCATTTGACTGATCAGATACAGGGACACATAATTTTTTGCAAAGATGTAGTATATGCTATTAATAAGTTATCATTTATTGAACTTTCATTACACATCAGGTGCTTTGCTGAGGGCTTTAGATGCACTCTCTCATTCACAGCAACCCAGTGAGGTAGGTACCACATTTATCCTTGTTTCATAGATGAGAAAATTAAGTCATAGAGCAATTAAGCTGGCCAAGGTCAAGTAGCTAGTAAACTACAGAGACAAGATCTGACAAGACATGATCTTTTGACTCCAAAGCCTATGCTTTTTACGTACTGCCTCTATAGGAGATCTTCACACTCACTTTCAAGTGTGTACCTCAGAAATTGCTGTCGCTCCTTTGCTCAGTGAGGGTAAGCAAAAGATGCCCAAATAAGACTATGCAGTAATGAGAGTGATGATGATGACTATATTTTCAAACAGCAAATAGGATGGAACGCTCCAATAATTTCAACAACATTTAAAGTTGAATGTGAATTTTTTTTTTTACCACAAGTCTAAACTGGTATAGATCAATTTCTTTTCAGTGACCACAAAACTATTATCATATCATATATCATATCATATCATATCATATTAATCTGTTATGGATTAAACTTTACCTGACACAATTATCTAAATAATCAAGGCTTTGTGGTGAGGGAGGTAGCTGAGTAAAAAGGGCGATATCTTTTTAAAAATTGAAATTGACTTCAGTAGTCAGCTGGGCATTACTCATCCACTGGCTGATTGCTTTGCCCTTCAACCTTTCCACTGTAGATTTAGAAAATAGGTGAGGCTGCATGCCCTGTACTTACGCTAACTGCATCAGAATTAAGGTTTAGCCCTTTCTTTATGGTTAGCTCTATTCAACTTTCATTGCTTCCTGCACACAACACCATAAAGGAGGAGCGGAAGCCTGAAGTGATTGGAATTCTTACCAGGACCAAACACAGTCTCTGGTCTCAGAGTCTTATTAACCATAACACTAAATATAAACAATTTTAAATAAATTTGTAAAACAGACAATGTCTAATTTCAGTCTTCCAGACACAAACCTAGTTAGAATCTACAATGCATTAATGCTCAAAGTGGAAAATAATGGCAATTTGCAGTTTCTCAGCAAGTATTCTACCCTGCCTACCCCCCACCTCGAGTTAATTACCTACTTTATCTTAGTGACTCCAGAAGAAAGTGCAGCATGTTTTTCATGGTGAAGCCTGCTGAAAATCTACCCTCAGATATTGGATCTACATCTTATATGGGTATCAATGATCACAAAAGGCATAGAACAGAGTATTTGCTGATGCTCCAAAGTAGGTTAAAGCATGTGTGAAAATACTCATACATGGAGTACAGTGTGGTTTGGAGAAGTTACGCAGTTAAGCTCTTCTCATGGGGAAGCAGTTGATTGAGATTTACAACAGCCTGGAAAAACCCAGAATTTAGCCTTCAGTTGAGAACTTCAGAGAAAAATCAATAAATACTTAAACCTCAAATCTTTCTTTTATTTTTTGGGTCTGAACCAAAATGTAAGAAAGGAATATTTTTTTTCCCTTTCATTAAGCTGTAAATCAGGAGTAAGAAGAGGCCTCCCTCCCCTCCTCCAGGACCTCCTAAGGAGGTGATGCTTCCCCTGCGCAGATCCTTGGAGCAGAAGCCAGCAAGCCTTGATAGGGAGGTGATATTTTTGACCCCAGGAAAGAAGAGGGGGGGGGGAAGGGCACCTCATTCACGAGTGGACCCCAGGGCTGGAAAGTGCATGCTGCAGGTATGGAGCAAAATCTCTTCCAGCCCCAGAACCACAAGGCAATAAAACAATACCTCAGGCTAGTATGATTAGGGATTCTGAAAATGTGTACCTATGAGGGTACAGTGTTAAGGCTTCCCATATCTAGACATGTGTGCACATGCGCACATTCTCCAAGGGAAAAATATCAGCAAAAGCAACAACTCTCACTACATACATTAGGAGTATAAATCCACATGTGAATTAAACAAATGATATAATGATACATAATTAAAGCTCTTCAACACTAGTTTTGTCTGGAATTGTATATAGAACCATCTCTTTGCAGTGTGGGTGAAACTTGGTTTGAAATGATTCCACATTGAAAAGCAGCAAACTTTCTAGAAAAAAACTTTCCTTTTTGGAGACCAGGTACATTGTTTATTACTTTCTTTCTTTTTTTAATCTTAGCCATGCCAGCATCACAAAATAAATGTTGGAAAATCCCAGAATGTCCTGAGAAGAATTTCCGAATTTATGAAACTTCAGGGCAAACCATTCTCTCCATTGATATATGGAGGGCACAGTATTTTCTCATTAAAAAAATACGTAAAACACCTGATTGCCATGCCACATTTTACACATTTTACCCTATAAATTCATTCAGATTTTTATCTCCCTGACAATTGTTTTAAAATGGCATTTTCATTTGTATAGTGATTCATACACTTTACAGACACCTCTCAACTTAAACATATTCCAAACTACATCAAGAAGAAAGACGTTTGGTTTCTGGGAATTAAAGCGTCCTGAGGATTTTTAAACTTTTCTGTAGCATCCAGATGGCAAGCAAAGTGTGGCACTTGGGGACAGACTCGTCTGAGGCACACCAACAAACCTCATCTCCGGTCCCCCATCCCAGGTCACCTCTGCGCTAGGCAGAGGCCAGCGGGGCGCAGAGCTCCCTGTACGGTCCCCGCTTCATGAATAAAGCGGTCATCTCTTACCTTGTTAGAAGCCATCTCGCTGACAGAACGGTAGGTCTGTATGGTCTCTAGCTGGTCTAAGCACCAGTCCAATTCCTCCAGCGTTTCCATTGCTAATTTTTGATAAGATTCTTCTGCAAACAAACACACAGACATGTAGTTAGGCTGGAGCGGCTGCAGGCTGTCCATAGCAGAGTCACCGTTGCCGCTGCTGATCCCAGCGCTACTGAAGGTGGCCCCGTGCTCTTTCATTATTTGCGCGCCGACTCCTTCCTTCCAGCGCTCTCCACCAGGAGAACAAATCACTGATCGCTGTGGTGCCCGTGCCAAGTTTTCACCCCCCTGCCTGGATGAGGTGTCCGCGATCTACCAAGAAACTTCCTCTGAGGAAGAAGGCGGGGAACCAACCGTCTCTTATAAGCTCATCTGCATAAATGCGTCCTAAAACTAAGGGCAGAAGCAGTGAGTTTTCTCAGGCTGTGTCTGTCTTAGTCATCCCGGGGCCCTTTAGGGTGCGTGATGTCATTTCTGAGTGTTTGCCGTCTGCAGGAGAAATGAGGAAAGCGTTTTCTCATTCTGCTGTTCTCCTAAATGAAACAGACAGTTGAAAACTGGGGGGTGGTTGGGGGGAAAGTGACAGGTCACTGGAAGGCTACAGGCAGTCATTTATTCCCGGAGAATGTGTGCCTGTTGGCTTAGCTGTTAATTCAGCAAACACTGACCCGCACAAGGGAGACACATAGGCTAGTCCTCCCCTCTTCTGAATCTCGCCTCTAAGTAGAGCCAAAGTGAGGTCTCCGTGATAAGACTTCAGTCTAAGAGAGACTGTCTGGAGTTTAATGTGAACACGTTTATTGGCGGTTTATTGGCCTGGGAGTCCAGCAGCTCTTGTTATACTAAACAAAGCGAAAACTTCTCTGCAACTGCCAGGATCACAGGGAAATTCTGAACCGGACTTTCAGGTGGAGCCAGATGTGAACGCTGCAGATTTTCATCTTGATTCAAGTCAGGGGCTCTGCTTTGTCCCTGTGGGAATCTAGACTTTCTGGGACTATTTCTCAGTACTCCCTAAAACTACTATTTTTAAGATCATAGTTTTGCTGGATAATAAAGCTCCTTTTTAAGTGTTCACATGTCATTGCATACCCCAAAGTTTGTGAGTCTAAATTAATAATTAAGTTTACTGACTTAGGAACCCCATGTTAGTAAACACTGAATGAACTTTATAAATACAAGACGAATTAATGGTGGTAAAGACAGTTATAAAACTCAGTCAGGCTTCCCTGCATACATGACTGAGTTTAAGGGGCATGACATCTATGAACTCTCCCAACCTTTCTGGAATGCAAGTGATAGGCACTAATATAATTAAAAATCTTATATGGAATTCTATTTTGAAGAAAAGACTACATACATTCTTGTCAGATTTAGAATACATGTTCAAAAGAAATTTTAGGGAGACCATAAAGCTTTTTTATTATTATTTGAATAAATTTATGTGTGTAGCCCTCATACCTGAAGCAGAAAAGGGAATAAACAGGAGAGTGACTGTAGGTGACTGGAGTCACCTGCTCACAGATGCACATTTCAAAGAAGAGCTGTTTTGTTTATTCCCCAAATAAACCTTTGTTTCGGGAGAAACAGGGGTTAAAATTCAATATCCTGTATGTCATACTTAAAAAAACCCACAAAACCACTGGAGGTGACTTCCTCTATTTTTTTTTCACACTCCTCAAAAATGTGCAGACAAGAATTGAGGTGTTTTCAGTAAAACTCATTTCAAGCCAGACTTGCATTACCTTCTCTCCTTTCTTCCTCCTCAATTTTGCAATGCTGCTTTAGCAAGAAGCATCTCCTCGCTTACTCTCTAGTGTGTCCAGAACACCTCTCTGTCTTCTGTTCCTCCCTCAGAGCACTTCTTCCAAGAAAGCTTTTTCTGAAGTGACAGAACCCTCCCATTCTCATTCCAGGCCTCTTGTAAAAGAAAAAGTCCAACCACTTCCCAACTACCTGGGCTTTATTTACTACCTTAGTGTCTTCCACATCACAACCCGTAGTCCTCAGTGGCTAAGATCAGCCCTTCACCAGGATGGCGGGGAGTGAGCAGTTGGCTCAGAGCTTTTTGAATCAGCTGATATGCAAAATGACTATAAGATGATATGTCACATTTTCCCTCCACTAAGAGGAAAAAGGGGATCTGATTTCCACTCACACTTGACAAAGGAAATAGAGTAATTATAGCAGCAGAAGCACTGAAGAATGAAGAGGACTTGTCAAAGATCCAATTAAGTTTTGCCACCATAGCTCATTCACTGCCTGTTACAGCAATTTTCAACCTGTGTGCTGCGAGAGGCACAATGCTGTGACGCAAGAATTTACAAAAGATTCAATACCTGGCTACTTAGTCAGGGACACTGACCTCTTTTCTCTTAGATTGTCAAATTAGAAAATGACAATAGCCAATACAACAGTAACCATCTGGTGTGAATGAATCAAAATCATACCTTTTTTTTTTGTCAGTTTGGCAAAAAATATATTTTTTGGTGTGCTGCAGAATTTTAGTAATTACTTTCTATGTGCTGTGAGTTGAAAAAGTTGAAAATCGTTGGTCTACTATACGGTATGAGTTCCTAGAGCTGGTACAACACTGAGGTGTGACAGGACCTTACTCCACTGCCCTCTCTTATTCTGGTCAGCCACAACATTTTTTATGTGACATTATTTCATTTTGACATTAATGAGGATTTATTCCTTCCCAGATTCTTGATACACTCTCAACACTGTCTTTGTGTTCCATTTTAGGCCTTCTTATCCCAGTAACTAAAACAAGAGGCACAGATGTCAGAGAGGGCTAAGTAAGAGGGCATCAAACCCCTGCTGACCATGGGTACAGCCCAAGGAAAGGACCAGTGCTGCTCGGGACTGACCTTCACATTATAGCTTCGCAACACCAGCACCAGATCCAGAGTTTGGTATCTAGCAGATACTCAGGATGTACTTGGAGGAACGGAAACCAAAGTGCTTGCCCAAGGAGCCTGAAAGCACTTGGGCACCTAGAGACTGAATGGAACAACTGTAGCCCTGTGGAAAGAGCACTGGCTTTGGAGTGAGACTTCTATATTTTGACTTTCTCTATTTAATTGCTGTGTGATCCTGAACCTCAGTTTCCTTCATTTCAAAATAAGGATACAAATATTAATCTCATAAGGTTATAAAGGGATTAAGTGAAATAAAATATATAAAATGTCTGTATAGTAGCCAGTTCTCAGTAGGTGACCAATAATACATAGGAGTATAATTAGTAATGGCAATCAAAGTAACCCAAAGGCCTGGCATTTGGGGGTGAGGAGAAACAGGAAGGAAGAAAGAAGAATTGCATAGTCAGCAAGGGTTTTTACAGTCAGGGTCAGCTACAGAATTTGCCGGGTCTGGTACAAAATGAAAATGCAGGGCCCCTTGTTCAAAAAGCATGAAGAAGTCCTGTTAAAAGTACTAAAGTAGGAAGCTTTTTCCTTTCTTCTGGAGTTTCTGTCTCAACCTGTCACAGTGGTGGCGGGTTTTTTTTTCCCCTTAAACCTTTTATTTAAAATAGTTCTAAATTTACAGAAAAGTTGCAAAGATAATATAGAGAGTTCCCACATATTCTATATCCAGGTTTCTCTATTGTTAACGTCTTACATTACAATTAATGAAGGGCATGGTGTGTTTTATTTACTCTTTAATGTCGCATTCCCCCAGGCATGGGGGCACCATGAAAAGAGCACGGACCCTCACAAGACTCTGGAAGCCCTGCTCACCAAACGCTGGGGTGTGCCACCCGGCCAGCTGCCATACTGACGTGCGGTGACCCAGCTAGGGTCAGGCTCTGGGAAAGCCACACGCCCCCCTTCCACACGGTACCAATGTGCCAATCCACAACAGAGAGATGACCCCTGAAGGTATTACAGCCTCTGCACTGGGACATGTAGATATCTGGATCAGGGGTGGACAAGAGACTCACTCTCACCAAGACATGGCCTCTGCGTACCATGTTATATCCCTGCCAACCCACGGCACGGATAAATGTTACTTGAAACTTTGCAAAGTACACATGTCCAACTCGTTGCTCCTGGACCCAGGCCCCTGCTGGGAATGGATGTCAGCTGCAGTCATGGGCAAAGGCAGGAAGAGGGATGCTGGGTGAATCCCAGGGTGCCAGGCTCAGGGACAGGGTGGCTGAGAATGCGTTCAAGGGAGGCAGGCGGGAGGCAGGAGATAGTACAGCATAGGAGCCGAGGCTCTAAAGCCATCGGAGTATATGCCATTGTCCCATCAGACTTCAGTTAAAAAAACTTTAAAAAACCAAAGATAAAATTATTATGAGTTTCAAGACAGCAACTACGAAACTCTCCTGGGTGGGGGCCTGTGCAACCGCACAGGTTGCTTGCCTATGAAGCCGGTCCTGTTTCCGGTCTTACAAAAATGGCTATGAAAAGGAACAATGCTTCACACCACAGAAGCACATCTCAAGAGGAGGAGAAGAGGTAATGGAACAGTGTGTGGTCATGGGGTCAACTCTATTTTTCAAAACTTTCCAGAGGGAAGAAGGAGGAAGGAGAGCCAGCCTCCCTTCTATATTTCCTATCTTTTCCTCTTTCGCTCCAGCGAGAGTGGCAAAGGGAGATTTTATTCCTGCTGCAGATCTGGTAGGCATTGCATTCAACCCTGAGAAACAGGAAGAAAGAATGCATGAATAGTTATAATTAATATTAATCTGGAAATAATACATAGTATTTATATAGCTTTTTTCTCAAAGGATCTCCAAGCACACTACTCATTAATCTTTGGAACATATCCGTGTGACAGGCACTGAAGAGGTATGATTACTTTTAATTTATCTTATGGTACCAGCTAAAAAGTCAGATGTTAAATTATTAGAGCAAGATTTCTGGCAAAATACTACCTTGATCTAAGAAACAGAGGATTTAGCTCAGTGCTGAAAATGCATGCATTCCTGAGAATGCTCCATTTAAAGTGACATCTTATCCTTGGGTCTTTTCTATTTAAAATTACATAAGTGCTTTCCTAAATGTTGTCATTTCTTGAGTTCCCTGTTCCCTTTTCTGACCCATTAGCACAAGGAGGCTGCACAACA